GGCCGGGGGGGGATCAGCTCTTGCCGTGGCAGCGGGAGGGAGGACCCTGGGCCTCGGGGTTGGCGCCCGGTGCTTCCCGCCGGTGCGCGGCGGAGCGCCTGCCTGCCGGGCTGGGCAGCGTCGCTGGCCCGCGGGGGGCAGGAGGGGGATCCACGTCTCGCGAGCGTGGCGCTTCTGGTTTGTTTATTTTCGGTTGTGGTTTTGTTATTGTTAGGGTTTTTTTGCATAAGGGGGGAGAGGAAGATGTGCCAGTGCTTCCCAAAGCTTCGTTTGATGCAAGGCTAGCAGTGGTGTGCTCTTTTGCTTATTTCTAGCCCTCCTTCTGTTTCTAGTTCTGCTTTTTTGAAGATTAGCATCAACACATATAATTTCCATAAAAACTACATTTGTTTTGGAAAGGGCTGTGTAACAAAAGCAGGAATCGGGACTTAAACCTCATCTTCCATTCCAGGGATAGCATCTAGATGGCTCTTATGTAGTTATGTTCGCTCCATACATGTTAGTAGGTCAGCAGGTGTGGCCGAAGATGGAAAGCAAAAATTATGCAAATAGCCACTGAGGAAATTCTCTTCTGCTGACCATTATTCTGTCCTTCTTGTAGTTATATGGACTGTCACCCTACCATTTCATCACTCTTATCTAACATACAGACTTCATTACTGGAGGTGCCAAGGCTCAAGATCTTGGAGCAGAATTCTAACAACTAGCTGTCAGGACCTTAAGAAGAAACTTGCCTTTTGGGGTAGACTATTCCAGAATGTCTGCTGCAGTGTCATTTGAAGTAGCTTGCACTGGATCCTGCCATTAATGTACCGCTTGCCTGACTATGATGTGGACTCCTGAGTTCCTCTGTCTGTAACTAAAGTATAGAGCTCTAACAGGAGACATAAGTTCAAAAGGTTGTTTTATAGGAAAATAATTTCTACAGATGATATTAGATGTAATTTCTGCACTTTATCCTGTCATTTTTCTGTTAGCCAAACTCTCAGCTACCTTCTTTAAGAGAAGCAGAAACTGTCTTATTAGAGTCTGCCTACCCTCAGGAAGCAGCTGAAGGTTTTGACAAGTATGTAGTGTGAGAGGCCATAATGTAACTATGCATTTTTCTGACTTTCATAGCTTTTAGTTTCAGCCTTCCAGTGTTCTCATTCTGGGTGTGGGAAGAAGGCATTTCTAAGGCCATGTCTCCCCTAGGAGTACACTCCTAGGGATAGTATGTGTTGCACTTTTAGCAGTATGGATTTCTTTAGTCCCAGCATGTTCTCTGATCACATACTTTCTGTTCTCTGATGACTTACTTTTCTCTTGAGACAGAAACAGACTGTATTAAGAAAACCACAGCTTTGCAGGTTCAGCTATACTTGTTATATGGGCTTTACCCAGCACAGCTGACTTGTTTTGAGATTCAGTCCCTGAGATAGCTAAGTTTTTGTGAGATAAATATATAGCCTGAGTAATTTTTAACTCTTGAAAAAAAAGTTGTTTGTGAATTAGCCTTTAGCTTTTAGTTTGCCTTTTTTGGGGGGGGTGGATACACATGTATAATACATTAATTTTCTATCTGCTTTTCATTCTTTGAATAACTTGAGGTATTTCTGTTCTGAAAGTCTCCAAGTAGCTCACTGGCAGCGTAAAAAGAGATATACAACTATCCCACTTGACTCAGAAGAGTATTGATTTAATAACAGATAACGACCATAAACTTTGTATCTGCTATTTTATCTTGGTGACCTGTGCTGCTGAACTTCATAGAATTGGGCATTACATTTTTTAGCAGATCAAGAAATTGCATTCCTATTTTCCAAGTTTTGTGTATACAGTAAGGAATGATTACCTTGTCCAACAGAATTCTTAACAGAGTTAGAAATTACTACGCACTGTATTCTCCAGATGAATCTACTTTGTGCTTTACTCAGTAATTTTAAGTATGAAATGATTCTACTTCAGGTAATTCAGTAAGATTGGATGACCTGTGCTCTGTACAACTTGCTCAGCCACTGAAGAAAGGCGGTGAATGAGACAGGTGAATGATACAGGTGCATTCTGCCCCTTCAACTGCATTGATGTCTTCAGTACTTCTAAAATATTTTTGATTCATTGGTGACATTCACAGCAATAGTAAAAAAATAAAGAAATTTTTTAAAGTAAAATATTTGTGCTATAGTTCTGCTTCAATTAATTTCTTCCTTCCTATGTGTTAGAGTTTTTGGCATCTTTTAATCTACCCTAAAGGGCTCAATGGCCTAGTATGATATTCTCTTGTAGTTGGTGCAGCGGACGGAAGGATTAGATCATGGAAACTTTCCTTAAACATAAAAAGTCAGCTTAAGGCAGGTGGAAACTTTAGTCCAGAAGATTCTACAAAGTAACACTTCAGTTGATGCAAAGAATTGTTGCCTATCTTTTCTACTCTAACGTGCATAGTTTAGACAGTTTTGCAAGGAATAAACTGTGGTGTTATTGGAAAGCCTTTGCTAACTTAAATGTGTGATAAACAGCAAATGTGAAGCTGGGAGTTTAATAGAAATCTACAGATCACTTAACAGATACAGCAAACCTTTGATAACCAGATTTCCTTGAGGATGAACATGGCTTCCTTCCTTGTCTTATACTGATGGAATTTTCTGTAGATTCAGAGAAAGTCCCTTTTTGTTCTTAACTATTTTTGTAGTTCCTCAATGGAAAAGGTATTAAAAACTGCCTGCAGCACTATGGAAGCATGGAGACAAAACAGTCATCTATTGAGACCTTCAAGGAACTACTGGGCAAAGTGACGGAGATGAAGAGCTTGAACCATCACTTCAGCATGGCGTCAGCTGAATCTGACAAGGACTCCGGATATTCAGGTTTAGAAAACCCCCGCATTACCTTTTTTTGTGTGTGTTCTCTTGCTTAGACTTTGCTTTTAATGGCGATGTGTGATAAATCTGACTCTAGTCCCTTACAATTTGTTTCTTATTAGCTGGGAGGGCCATTGTATACAAGACAGCTTGCATCTGCAATCATCCTACCAGCAAACTTTTGGAGTGGATCTTTCTGTAGTTATGAAGTTCATCCTGTGAATTTGAATGACATGAGAATTTAAAATGTGCCTAGTAAAGAAATGAAAGGAGGAATCTCAGACTTCAGCATCTAGAAGTGGGAATGGCAAAATTACTTTTTGCTCTTTGCAGTGATGAATGAACTGTTGGATTATGCCATCCAATGTCTCCTATGATTCAACCAGATTGTCAGTAAAGCCAGATAAACTGGAGAATAATTGTTATCGTAAAATGTAGACATGATATGCCATTTTAATGCTCCATAAAACTGTGCAGAGATGCCCTTTAAAAGAAAAAAAAATGCTTTTGAGAGATACGTGCCTTTTTAGGTTGTAGGTAGAAGATTTCAAGACATTTAATGCCTGCAGCACAGACTGTGGCTGGGGCAGTGCCGGAGACCATAGTTCTTTACTGAACCAGGTTTAGAGGAGTCTTCATGATGGTGTGCAGTCTCTTGGAGACTAAATACAAAAGAACAAAAAGTAATAGATTTTCGGGAGACAGCATCTGCATGAGAACTGGCCTGAAAAATAAAGCCTTTTATTAAAGGCTATTTGACAGCTGTCACAGCAGGTCTAATTTTATTGGTATTCCAGAACTAAACTTCACTGTTCTTTGTGGCTTGGTTGAAAGGAAGTAGAATAGTAGAACTTAAAGGAGGTAGCAAGCATGCTGCATGTGAAACAACTAACAGCTGAATTCTACATCTGGCAGATGGAAGTTCAGAGTGCCTGAGTGCTATGGAGCAAACTGACTCGGAGGACGTATTGAATGCGTTGTGTTGGAACGCAGAAGATGGGCCTTGGCCATGCCCAATGACCACAAGCAACTCCTTTCCTGCACTTTCTCCTATGGTCGTAATGAAAAATGTGTTAGTTAAGCAGGTAGGGAAGAAATAATACATTGAGAAATATTGCATGTTCTTAAACTGTGGGGTTTTTTTTTTATTTAGTGTATTTCCTTTCAAAATGATTTTACGAAGTTGTTGGAGTCCAGAAAGTAACTGGTAACTTGAAAAGTTCTATTGTGACAGCCTGTTCTTTTAAGGGGCTGCTAAAATCACTGAGTTATAAAAAAATGTGAAATGGACAAGCTCTGCTACATCTACTAAAACTCTTTGTCTCAAAGATATCCCCCCAAATAGTTCTTTAAGCATATTATGTAAATAGCACCCAAATAAAACAAAAAAGTGAGTTTTTTCCTTTTGAGAGCTGGTATTTTATTTTTTGTTCTGTAAGTACTATAAAGTATGATGATAAGTTTTGCTACCTGGTTTTTAGGTCCTGGAAGTGCTTTATATGCAACAAAAAACACTAATCCAGAATGTTATAAATGAAAAAATTAAATCCCTATCTGAAGTTAGCTGCAGTATTTTTTACTTTAACATTTGTTTCTCTTAACAGCATGTGATTACTCACATTGCAACAAGTATATTCTCTATTTCTGTCCTCCAGTATCTTGTTATATGTTCTTCCAGCACATCTGTAAGACTCTTAAGTTTTACATTGTAACAGAAGATATGAAAGATCCAAATTCAAAGTACTGCCGTGTTATTAGACCTCTTGCTCTGTATTCACTCATATTTTCTGAGCAGCACAAAAGTTCTTCAGCATTTTTTGTTAGCATACTTCTGAGAATACAGTGAAAGGGGAAAAAGGAATATAGATGCTGATTCTTTTTCTACTCCATCTGTTATGACAACAAGCGAAACCTATTAAATTCAAATACTATGTATCAGTGCTAACACAGATACAGGTTTTTGTTAGTATTTAGCAGATTATGCGTTTGTGGGTGAGATGGTTCTGATCTCTGAGCATTGTGCTTTATCTTGACAAGAAGCAATTTTATTTTCTAGTCATGTTCCTCAACGTGTGGACAAAGTACCGTCTAAACAAATGCTGAAGTTTTCATATGGTAGGGAGCAAGTAGGCAAGCTTCACCAAAGGTTGATAGTCCCAGAGCTCAAAAATTAAACACTGATTGCAGTGGCAGTCTAATGTTAAACTCCAGGTTGTGTTGCAAACAGTTAGAAATAGCTAATAATGAGTAGCTTTTAGATAGATAGGTATAAAAGCTATATGTAAATATTTTTAAAAATAAAAAAAAAAAAGTGTTTTTTTTTTTTTAAGAAGGGAACTTGGGGAGGAAGAGTTGGAGGTAGATAAGATTACAAGACTCAGTTTTCTTAAGCACTGCATCATAATATCTAAGTCTATGTACGGTTAGGGATGATAATGTTAAATTGAAAAATGTTTCCTGCAATAAACAAAAGCAACAAGTCTAAGTCAGAATAATAATGAAGTGTCTTTCTGTTTCTGTCCATTATGTGTAGTTACCTCAGTCATGCTGGTCATCTTTTTAAAATGGTCTTTTCAACACAGTGTTCAGTTGGGCTAACTGGCCAAAAAAAAAAGCAGCATCCAGTTTCTGCTGTTTACTTGTTCCAGTTTCAATTTCAGTCAGCATCATTCTTCTGTCTTAGAACTACTGTGATCATCCTGTGCAGTGATGGTTACCTGCTGTCCCAATTTCACAGTGTAAACAGCTAGCAGTAATGTTACTAAAGAAAAAACTCAAGCAGGGATTAATTCTCTGAAACACAGTGCTGCTTGTGGCAAGGTTTCTGTAAGTCTTATAAAAGTTCTTAATAAGTAGGAGGGCTTTTTAGACAAATGGCACTGATGCATGCAGGCTGTAAACTTTAATTAAAAAAAAAAAGCAAAAAAAAAAGCCCAGAAAACCACTTCACAGAATTAGTAAAATAAATTATGTCCTTCTCTACTAAAAATGAGATTTTGAATGTGAGAACAAAAGCAGAATGTAACATGAGTGGAAAGGAGGAGAAAGTAGATAACAGAGATAGGAAAAAACAAGATAAACAGTTACCACAGCTCTTTTGATCTCAGTGATTTTGGGGCTCTGTTGTGCTAGGTACTGTATAATTGTGCAGTAAACAACAACTTCTGACCACAAAACCTTGCTCCTTAAGGCTGCATGTTCTGTCCTTTGTGTGTGTATAGCCATGGTATTTACATACTTCCTCTCTCCTAACCTCTCCAGATACTTTTTCTTTTGAATGTGTTTGTCCTTTCTTCTGTGATAAGGTAGTAATATTCATTTTTTACAGGTAGTTGTTCTGTACCCCTATTCCATGAACATCTTGCCTACTGAACCAAAGAAATTCTGTGTCAGAGTAGGTAATTGAATCTCATCTCCAAGTCTCAGTCTCCTAATTGGTGGGTAATACCCACTTTTGACAAGTTCATGTCCTTTACTGGGTGAATGGACTTCAGCAAAGCATGTCAGCATTTGCCAGTTTAACTTTTATGAGACTAGGGGAGAGGAGATGGATTTCAAGTGACTCAGAACAGTACCAAAACTATATATTTGCGCTAGCTAAAAACTGTGCCTTCAGCACACCTGCCAGTAGCATTCCAAGTTGTAAGGAGCTGCAAAATCAGTTGACAGTATATTATATTAGTATAATTGTAGTAGTGATGTCTTGAATATATTAAGTAGTGAGATTTTTCCTTCAGAAATAAATAGTATCTCTTACTAGACTATTTGATATGTTTGGAGAAAAGCAGGCATGGTTTTTGGCCAGGAGATCTTGTGAAGATCCGTAGTAATGTATTGGAGGAGGAAGAGCTAGTGTCTTGTAAAAATTGATGTATTCCCCTATATTGCAGAGTATGACTTGTAGGACGGAGTAAAAACTTGGGCTTTTTTCTTGAAATACAGTGCTTTTAAAGTTTATCGTTGTGCAGTATTTCACCAGAGGTATGGAGTTAAACTGTCTGAGGTTACAACAGGCTTTTTTCCTTGCGTAGGTTGATATTCAGCATTCTTTTTTCCTGCTTCATGGTTTTAAATTTATTGAAACTGTGTATTGTACTTAAGATTGCAAGACTTACTGAACAGCTGTCGTCTATTTTAAATAACGATTTCAAAAGCTTGCTATAAGAATAGAATTGACAAGGCTAGAGTTGCTGCCTTTCAACAGAGGGAGTCTAAATTGTTCCTAAAACGTCTGTGTAGTCTTTCTTTGACTCTTGTAAAGTATTTCATAATCATAATGCTTCATTATTTTTCAATTTTTCTGTGCACTTGTTCAGTCCTAAATCTGCATCGAACTTTTACATGAGCATTGTACAATATAAGTGTGCGCTATAATTCTCATTTAGGAAGGCATGTATAAATTCAGATTTAATTGTTTTAAAATGTCTTGGATGTTCTGTAGTAAAAGGATTATGGATTATAACTTTGATTCTAGTTCTATGCTCTCAGAGGAAGGAGGATGAGTTTGATGGAAAACTGTTCAGAATGTATTAATTGGACAGTGTATATCAAATATGAAGAAACAGCACAGTCCACCTGTTTTGTTTAAGGTTTTTTGATCCTCTTCTACAATATTGTTGTAAGACTTCTGGTTTTTTTTTCCCCACTTGTGCTTCTCAGGGGAGTTCATCACAGCTCCAGTCTTGGACTGTGCAGCCTTCTTTTGAAGTGATTCCAGCTCAGCCACAGCTATTGTTTCTTCGTCCATCAATCCCACCTCCCATTAACACTCACCCTGTTGGGAAAAAGAGAAATGACTCCACTAATTACCTGCCCATCCTGAATTCTTATCCCAAAATAGCACCACAGCCTTGCAAAAGAGATCACTCCTTTGATCTAGAAGAACGTCATGAAACCAGTTGCCATAAACGATTCTGCACAGAAGCACCCAAGATGGAAATTTCTCCTGTGTCGAGGAGCACAGGCTTGCCTAATAGTCCTTTTGCCCACCTACCACTTAGCTTTAAGACCCCTCAGGATTCTCACCAGCAAAGTTCTTCGACTCTGGTGACAAGTGGAAAACTGTCAGCTCTTCCTGGTTTTCATCGTGTTTCTAGTGACACTCAGAAAGTGCCAGCTTTGACTCCCCTTTTGCCTTTTGGAACTCTGCAGGCAACAAAGTGTACCCCTCATGAGAGCGAGAGTACAGCACAGGCTACAATGCAGTCTGCAGTGTGGAGCCCCCCATTGATACCAGAAGAGATTTGCGCTACTCCTGAGCTGCTTTTGCAACAGCAAAGCAAGTGCAGGCGCTTTCAGAATACACTTGTCGTGCTACGCAGGTCGGGATTGCTGGAGATCACTTTAAAAACCAAGGAGCTTATTCATCAGAACCAGGTGACACAGGCTGAACTGGACCGGCTGAAGCACCAAACACAGCTTTTCATAGAGGCAATAAAGAACAATGCTCCACAGTCATGGGCAGAGCTAGAAGCATCTCTAGCAGGATCTGATAAAGCTGATAGAAACCTTGAAGAACCTACTTATCCCAACATGTAGTAAAATGGTACATAGCTGTTGGTCAGGTTATTTCTGTGCCTCCTGTTTCCTGTCTCAAGCTTTTACTTGAGCATTTTCTGAGTCCAAGACTTGTGAAGTGGCATGCTGTTAACAACTTGTCTTCAGAGCTGGTTGTGGACTGGAATAGCATGGTAGGGAATTGACAGAATGGGCACTTACTACATCGGTATGACCTTGAACTCCATGCTAACTATATGTACTTCCTTGGACTCCAGAAGCTTGGATGTGCTCTGCTGGCAGTGAAAAGACAATAATTTGCAGTATTCTGCAATCAAGCATCTGCCTATTCCCATCTTCAGATAGTCAATTTTGAGAGGGGAACAGCAGAACAGGCCCCAGTATTAGGCCATCATCAGTTGCAAGTAGATGACAGGAGTTGGTGTGAGGAGAGGAAACTTACTTTGGTGGGGTTGTTTAGACTGTTGCTGTCCTTTGTTGTAGCAGAGTCTTACTTTGGGGTTTTAATGTGTTTGAATTAGAGATCTGCTGGTGCTGAAGCAGCATTCTATATTCATTGCAGTTTTTGGTCAAAGTGATGAGTGTCTTAGGACCCAAGTGAAATGATGTGTTTTGATGAATATACTTTTGATTTTCATCTACAGCTGAGTGAGTGAAAATCACAAGGCTTGTACTGGAAGTGTTTGTTCCAAAGCCGTATTTATTAATGTCTAACAAGTGTACAAGGCAAGTGGCTTTGGAGTTTACCAGGCTACTTACTTGGTAGCTAACAGATTAAACATTGTTATTAAAGACTGCAGTGACTTTTTTTAAAAACAGTACAAGGAAGATATTCATTCACCAGGATTAATTTGGCAAGTCTAGTTGCGTATTATTTGATATGTATACTTTTTAGTTTACAAGCCTAAACTTTTTTCCTGCAAAATCAGATTGCTAAGTATAAAAAAAAAAGAGGTGAAAGGAAAAGGAACATACTGGCCTGTAGTGAAAAAAGCCCTTCCCTCTCTTTTCTATTTAGAGAAATCAGATGAATGTACCTAGAGAAGGGGGGAGGAGGAGGGGGAAAAAAAAAAAGAGATGTCAGCTTGGATAATCTCCCTAAAAAATTTTATCTACCTGAGTTTGAACTTTAAAATAAACCCACCAGACCTCAAAACACTTTTCCTCCAAATTTATATCATTCCTAGCCTGCTTGCCTTGAGATATAGCTGACATCACTGTGTGCATGAGATATTAGGCCTTACTGGTAGAGATTCACAGTAGTCCTGTTACAAAAGCTGTTCTACAGGCATTTATTTCACTTCAGTTTATCTAGATACTTAGCTATGTCACTCCTTCCAGTCTGAAAGGTTTTTTTCAGAGGCAGTCTGTGTAGAGAACTAAGAATGGCTTTGTCTAAGAATGTTAAGGTATCTGGATTGTTTATGATAAGCTCTTTTCTGTGTGGCATTTTTTTCAAAAAATGGTGCATTCTAGGTGACTGAGTATTTTGATGCTTTGATCACTTCTGTCATCTATTTCAGATTCTAAAAAAAAGAAACTTGAAAACAGAATGGATGTCTTGCTAATTTGTGATTAGACCTTTTAATTTTCTGATGCATCTGGGAATCAATATTGCAGAAGACTGTAAAGAATGCTTTTGTAGTCTTCCTCAAATATGTGCTTTAGAAAAATTGTAAGGGGCTTCTCTCTTGTAAAGGGTTTCCCCTTTTTACACTGATGGAAAGAAATGCCGTACATGCCTCATAAAGAGGAGGAATGCAAGTCACATTTGTACTAGCCATAGGCCTAGAGAGAAATTGTGGCAGGATTCGCCCTGGTGGAGCTGTAAGCAAACTAGTAGCCATGCCTCTTGTGGTATTCTGCCCATCTGCGGAAGACTAGTGCATTATGTGGCAACTGATTAAAAGAAAAGTGTTCATAGACTGTGTTCTGTCATGTGTGTGTTTTTTTTTTATATATACCTGCTATAATTGTACATACTAGGATGTCTCATAACTTGCAGCAACAGCAATACCAGAACTTAGCCAGCAAACCCAGAAGGCAGGAAGGCAGCACAGTACAGGGTAATAACATAGGACATATCCAATCTAGCTCTTTTGGAATCAATGTGATATCTGCACTGAATGACCAATTTGTTGGTCAGATGACAGATGTGATGGTACCTTAGGCCATTTGTGAAAGAATCCTGAAAGATAAACTTGTTTCTTCTGAGCTTCTTACAGGAAGGAGAGGTGGCAGTAGGAGGCAGTTCCATTGATTTGGGGTACTTATAAGAGGCCTAGAGGTGAGGTGTGAGAAAATGCATAGGATATCTTTCCTGCTTTTCCTATAATTCTTATTCTACCTCTCAAAGAGGAGAATTTGAAGTTCAGCATATATATATTTTTAAGAAGGGTTTGTCCCAGAAAACAAGATGATGGACTCAAGCTATCTAGAGATGAAAGGAAGTCAGAAAAAAAGTCCAGTCCCAGCTGTATGAGACAAGAAAAAGTGAGTCTACTGATGACCTCCTTGCCATCCTCTTTCCACTGCTCTGATAGAGTAAAATGAAGGAAAAATTGGCCTTGCAGGGTAGTACCCTCTGACTTAGGAAGACTCTAGCTGATAGAAATCTCTCATAGTCCACACAGTACCACATGGGTTTTTTTTTTCCCTGACAGCACTGAGGGTGGGCTGAAGTGGGTGTGCTTATAGCTGATGGGCCTTTCAGCTGGTGTAATTTGTATAAACACATATTCAATAGATCTATGAATAAAGTCCAGCAGCTGGTTAGAAATCTACTAGGCATCAGTCCAGACTTAAATAGTATTTGCTGAACTGGAAAAATCTACTCGAACTATTATATGTAAATCTGGGCCCCCTTAGTAACCATGTCCCTAGATAACTGCAAATCTTGATGCAACATCTATTAAAAAAAATGATGTTGAAGGCCCTAGTGATACATAGGTCATAAAGTACCATTCTGTTCAGTTTCTCTTGGCTGCCTTTATTCCTGGAAGCCCTGATAAACCTTTAAACAGTAAGGGCTTTCCTTTCTTGGCTGCAATTTAATAGCTTGGAACTGCGTTGAGAAAATTAGTTGACTAGATCAGTACCAGAATAGGTCATGATTCTGGGCAGAATCTGGAAGTGGTCCAGTAGATTTGAGCAGAAACGTTAACCTCTCTGATTGGAAACCTGTAAGCAATGAACTTTACAGTGGTTTTTGACCTTTGAAGCAGCAAGGCTTTGTATTAGCAAGTTAGCTGAAGACAGCTGTCCCAGTCTAAAAAGTCAATCAGATGGCCTGCTGGGGCTTCAGTTGCTGCTGACAACTAGCAGGCGGGGTAGCTTCATGGGTTGGACAGACTGCTCTTTTTCTATTAAGTTTTAATAAATGTTGGTATTTTTGATTACTTTTACTATGTATTTTTGAAATTCTACTGCTCTAGTTGGAATGTAAACATTTTCTGTACCTTTGAAGTCCGTTGCCAGCTCTGAATACAGTAGCCTAAGAACTCTGTTATAGAACATGACCTTTTTGCTAAAACTTCACAAAAACAGACTGTGAAATATGAATGAAATAAAGTATATACTTGAAAAGTTTGTGAGTTATTTTAATGCTGTTAAACTGTAAAGTCCTTGGTTCCAAAGTGTGCTTTACATACAGCTCCACAACAGCATGTTGCCCATGTGGGAAAGTGCAGATCCAAAAGTGATACTATGATGTATCTCTCCGAAGAGAGTCATGTGAGCTTTAGCAGTATGTATGAATTAAAGGGCCTTTGGGAGGAGCATGAGTAAAAGTGGGCTGTACAGAACTCTAAAAATATATTGTCGTGGGTGACCATTGCCATAGATCTGTCATGAACAACCTGGAAGGATTTTTCCATCTTTGAGCTGTTATCTCTGTGTGATGACTGTACATTATGCTCACCGTCTGTGCAGGGTGAACTCCTACACTGCATCTTAATCCTGTCAGTCGGCTATGCAGAAGTTCTAAATTGTGAAGTAAGGATCCTGGCTACTGAAAGAATCACTTGAGTGAATAATATTTCTTTCTTGAAGAACATTCTTCAACTAAATCTGTATACCAGCTTTTCACTAAAACACATTTTTCAAAATGTTGCCATTTTTATACACTCTTTTCTGTGTTCAGAGATGACTCTTAGAGTGGGAACTAGGCAGTCATGCCCAGAACATCCAGCAGCCTTGTGGCATGAGATCCTGTACTAAGGTGTGAGAGATTCTGGTTAAAGTTCTTACTTGGCACCAGACAAGGCAATAACTAGAATCTCATTACTTTACATCCAAAAAGGAGTGTTCTCAATTGAAATAATTTTGTTCCCTCAGACTGGAAACTCAGTGTCTGCAGATTTTGTATTTGTAAAAGATATGGGTACAATTCAAGCAGGAAATTTTAATGTTTCTGTGTTTCTTAAGGCTAGCTTTTTCTTTATGTGATGAAGTCTATCTGCAGGCTCTCAGGCCTGTTTCAGCTTTATTTCATTGAGGCCAAAAAGGTGAATTGCTGTACCCCCACAGGCTTGGCCTGAGGAATCTGGCATGCAGAATTTCTGCTGTCCCCTAGGTTGAACATAGTGTGCTGTTAGTGCTTTTGTTCTCGTAATTCCTGGGACAGAAATTCAGGGTCCCTACCTACACAGTGTTACACTCTTACTGCATCTAGGTGATGCTTCTGTGTTGGGATTGTGTGTGGCGGGGGGGATTGGTAGCAGGGGAGGGGCTATAGCAGTGGTCCCCTGTGAGAAGCTTCTCGGAGCTCTCCCAGCTCCAAGTAGGACCCACCTCTGGACAAGGCTGAGCCAATTAGTGGTTGTGGCTGCACCTCTGTGATAATGTATTTAAGGAGAACCTGAGAAGTGAGGTAGGAGTGATGGAAATACCTATGAAAACACTAAGGTCAGAGTGGAGGAGGTGTGCCAGAGCAGATGCCCACCTGCAGCCCGTGGAAGGCCCACGCCAGAGCAGGTGGCTGTGCCCGGAGAGTGCTGGGACTCAGAGGGAAGCCTGTGCTGGGGCAGTTCACCGCTGGGAGGACTGCAGCCTGCCGGAGGGACCCACTCTGGAGCAGCTGGTGAAGAGCTGCAGCCCTTAGGAAGGACTCATGTCAGAAAAGTTCATGGAGGACTTCTTCCGTGGGAGGGACCCCACACTGGAGTCCTCCTTCTGAGAAGAAAGGAGTGGCAGAAACCGCATATGATGAGCTGACTGCAACCTCCTTCCCCTGCCCCTCTGTACCACGGAGGGAGAGGAGGTAGAGAAATCAGGAGCGAAGCTGAACTCAGGAAGAAGGGACAGGTGGGGGGAAGGTGTTTTTAAGATGTATTTCTCACTGTCCTACTCTGATTTGGTTGGTAAATTAGTGGTGGTGATGGTGTTCATATCGATGATTTTTTTTCTTTTTTCCCAAATTAAGTCTGTCTTTTGCCGTGACCAGAGTTGGTGAGTGAGCCCTCCGTGTCCTTATCTCAATCCCTAAGCCTTTTGTTATACTATCTCCTCACCATCCCAGTGGAGGAGGCAGGGAGGAGTGAGTGAATGGCTGGGTGGTGCTCAGTTGCCCTCTGGGCTTAAACTGCAACAGATTCCTTTCAGGCCACTGTGTAATGCAGCCATATAGCCCCATCTGTGTTGCATGGTCTAGAGCATCCAAAATTCATGAGACTTCTCTTCCCTTCTTCAATCTGTACCTCTTTTGAGGTATGTCCATGAGACAAACTGCCTGAGAAGGCAGAAGGAAACACCATGTGTTCAGTTTGCTCTCTTGTAGAGCAGTTTCCAAGACTTGCTCAAATTCCGGTTTGAACTAAAGCATGTTTTTAGAGGAAGCATCCTGCTTTGATTTGAAAGCTCCTAGCGATAAGGAATCCACCCAAATTGTTCAAAACGTAATTACTTACTGTTAAAAATGTGCCTCTTATATTGAGCCTGAATTTGTTGTCTTTCAGTATCCAGCTGTCAGATCTTTTGCCTTTTGTCTGCTGAACTGAAGTGCATGCTGTGACATGCTGTTTTTTCACTGTAGGCATTTACAAACTGAACAAGTCATTCTTCAG